GTAGTTTGGAAGTTAGGAGGAGGTGCGGGATTACCAAAACTGTTGTCCAGAGGGTGAGGAAGGGTTGTTGAGGTGGTTCGGACATGTAGAGAGAATGGAGCGAAAACAGAATGACTTCAAGAGTGTATCAGTCTGTAGTGGAAGGAAGGCGGGGTAGGGGTCGGCCTAGGAAGGGTTGGAGGGAGGGGGTAAAGGAGGTTTGTGTGCGAGGGGGTTGGACTTCCAGCAGGGAAGCTTGAGCGTGTTTGATAGGAGTGAATGGAGACAAATGGTTTTTAATACTTGACGTGCTGTTGGAGTGTGAGCAAAGTAACATTTATGAAGGGATTCAGGGAAACCGGCAGACCGGACTTGAGTCCTGGAGATGGAAGTACAGTGCCTGCACTCGAAGGAGGGGTGTTAATGTTGCAGTTTAAAAACTGTAGTGTAAAGCACCCTTCTGGCAAGACAGGTGATGGGTGAATGATGGTGAAAGTTTTTCTTTTTCGGGCCACCCCGCCTTGGTGGGAATCGGGGCCGGGGTGATAAAAAAATAAAAAAAAACATATTATATCTGGATAAATAAAATAGGAAAAAATTGGCGAGTGTGGGGGCGGCGCCCTTTCCCCCCTCCGCCTATTATTTCTCCCCTGCTTTTATTATAAGAAAAAGGGAGTTTTTTGTGAGGCTAACTGACTGTTTCAAAATAAGAAAAATTGTAAAAAAACATAATAGAAATGTAAAGAAATAAAAGGGTTTTATAAGTGTGCATATGCGGCAAGGGGGAGGGTGGAGGTGGGAGGAAAGATAGCTACTTGCTATTAGCTCCTACTGCCACCCCCTACTTTTACCATGATTTCTGCTGAAAATTTTTGGGGACATCATCCTCTTTTTCTTCTTAGCACTGTCTTTTTGCACCTACTTTCTTGGGGACCCCTGGTTAGAAAAAAGATATTTGGCAATAATAACATGAAAATGCTTTTCCACGGTGACATGAACGATTTCACAGCTCAGCTGGTTGTGGCATTGCTGTGCCACCTAGTGTGATGTTCTGAAACTCGCTCAAATTAAATTATTATTATTTTGTTTTTTCAACAAAACCGGGGGCCCTTCCCACCGAGGCAGGGGGACCCAGAAAAAAAAAACGAAAATTTCTCTTTTTTAAAATTTTGTAATTTATACGGGAAAAGGGGGTTTCTAGCCCCTTGCTCCCGGCTTTTTTGTCGCCTCTTACAACACCATGGCTTTTCGGGGAAAATTCTGTTCCATTTCCCATTGAGAATTTATTATTATTTTTTTTTTTCAACAAGTCGGCCGTCCCCACCGGGCAGGGGGGACCCAAAAAAAAAAAAAAAATCCCCCCAAAAAAAAAATCTTTTATCATCATTTAAAACTTTTTACCCCCCGCACATTATCACTGTTTTTGCTGAGATGCCCCGAATACAACATTTTTAAGCATACCTTAAAGATACACAAATACCCTCCAAACTGCCCAAAAACCCAAAAACCCCCCCTTTTTAAAATGCAGGCATTGTACTTCCCCTTTCCCCCGGGCCGGGTCCAACTATATGAAAAAAAACCGGTTTCCCTGAACCCTTCACAAATATTACCCCGCCAACTCCAACAGATGTAGGTCCCAAGTACCCCTTGTCTCCATTACTCCTATCTAACACGCTCACGCACGCTTGCTGGAAGTCCAAGCCCTTGCCCACAAAACCTCCTTTACCCCCTCTCTCCAACCATTTCGAGGACGACCCCTACCCTGCCTTCCTTCCCCCTATATATTTATATGCTTTCCAAGTCATTCTACTTTGATCCATTCTCTCTAAATGACCAAACCCCCCTCAACAACCCCTCTTCTGCCCTCTGACTAATACTTTTATTAACTCCACACCTTTCCTAATTTCCACACTTCCGAATTTTTGCTAATATTTACACCACACATTGCCCTTAAGCAGGACATCTCCACTGCCTCCAACCGTCTCCTCGCTGCTGCATTTACCACCAAGCTTCACACCCATATAAGAGTGTTGAACTACTATACTTTCATACATTCCCTTCTTTCCCTCCATAGATAACGTTTTTTGACTCCACATATCCCTTTCAACGAAACCACTCACCTTTTTTCCCTCATCAATTCTATGATTAACCTCATCCTTCATAAATCCATCTGCCAACATGTCAACTCCCAAGTATCTGAAAAAATTCACTTCTTCCATACTCCTCCTCCCCAATTTGAAAACCAATTTTTTTATCTAAATCATTTAAACCCCCTCAACCTTACTTTTTTCTATGTTCACTTTCAAAAATTTTATTTAACCCTTCCCAACTCTTCCAAAACCTTTGAAAATTTTTTTTTTTAAAAATCTCCCATAAGACGTTCATCAGCAAAGTAACTTGTCGATTCCCATTTTGAATTTGATTCCCCAAAAAATTTAATCCCCCCCTCTCCCGAACCCCCTAGCATTTACTTCCTTTAAAACCCCATCTTAAATATATTAAAAAAAACAGGTGATTTAAATCCTGTCTAAGCCCTCTTTTAGGGAAGTGTCTCCTTCTTCTACACCCCCTTTAACCTGAGCCCCCACTTCCTCATAAAAACCTTTTTCCCGTTTTTAAAAAACTTACCCCTTTCCATATATTGCCTCGCCACATTGCTCCTCTATCCACTCTTCTATCCCTTTTTAAAAAACCCATAAATGCAATAAAAATTTTTCCTACTTTATCAAAATACTGTTCACTATATGCTTCAATGAAAAACATTTGATTACACCCCCCCCTACCACTTAAAAATCCTTGTCACCCGCAACCCTCTTCTGTCTTCCTCTAATTTTTTCAATTATAACCCTACCGTACATTTTCCGGGTTACTCACAAAAACTTTTTCCCTCTATAAATTTTACAGTCTTTTTTTCCCCCTTTCCTTTATATAAAGGGACTATACATGCTCTTCCAACCCTGTTCCTTTCCCCCTCTTTCTAATTTATTAAACAAAAGTCCCAACCCTCCAAAACTTATCCCCCCTTTTTAAATTTTGTCTGTCCATTTTTTCCCAGCTGCTTTCCCCCCTTTCTTTTTAGTAAAGCCCCCGTACCTCCCCCACACTTACATTCTGCTCTTCTTCATCCTAAAAGATGGATACCTCCTGACCAGTGCATGAATTACTGCCTTGTTTTTCCTTAACATTTAAAAAGTTCTCAAAATATTCTCGCCCTTACAAAAACCTCCTCTCCCCATTACAAAATCCCACTCTGTTTTTTTAAATGCAAATCCATATTTTTCCCCGGCTTTCTTAACTTGTTTTAATACTCCAAAATTTTTTTTTTTTTTTCATTAAAATTTTTTGACATTGCCTCTCCCCCCTCTATCATCTGTCTCCTTTTGCTCTCTTTACCCTTTTTTTTACTCTCCATATACTTGCCCCCTTATAAAACTTCTGCTTTTATAAACTCTCAAATACCTTTTTCTTTTATCAACCCTTTATTTATATTCCACAAATCCTCTTTCCTCCGCCCCACCCTTTCCCATAACACAAACTTCTGCCCCCATTCTAATACTGCATTTTTTAAAAATATTCCAACCCTCTTCAACCCCCCCACTTCTCTTTGCACTGCCCACCTTTTGCCAATATCGTTATATTTAGGGAATGGAGCACAGATCCAATTCCATAATAAAAGGCCCCCCTAGTGTCAAGGAACCTCCCTTGAGGGGGAGCTGCTCCTGAATTTTTGCCTGTACCCAGAAAAAAAAATTGACCGAGTGACTGTCGTATCCCGAAAAACTGTGTGGTGGGGCACTGTAAGCTGAGGTTCCCCTGTACAGTGGTACTTGACTTATGAGCTTAATTTGTTCCTTGACTGCTATAACCCAAATTTTTTATATATCAAACAATTTTCTCATTGAAAATTTAAATGAAATGTCATTAATCCATTCCGCGGAATTCCTGGCTCTAGGGGAGGGAAAAAAAAATGCTTCAATATAACGTAATGTCAACTTAAGCTTATTTATCTATGACAATTGATCTATTTGACATATTAAACAATATAAAAAACATAGAAAATGATATATATTCTGAATGAATAAAATATGTCAAAGGAGAGTGGTGGTGGCCACTCCCGGGTAAAAATAATTATTTTCTTTAACCCCTATCTTCCCCTTCTTGCCTTTCTGAGGTTTATTATAGAGAAATGGGTTTTGTGGGCTAACTGCATTAGACACCGTTTCGTAAGGAAAACATGGGAAAAAAGGTTTTCTTTGGGAATTTTTTTTTTTTTACCGAGTCAGGAGACCACTATGGGTTTTGGGGAATATCTCGAAAAATAAATCAGCTTAAAAGAATATGCCTTCTTTCAGAGAAGGATGAGGCAAATACATTTCTAGCTTGTATGCCTCACCCAAATCAAAAAACACGCACACCTAGCACGTGTTTTCTAGGATTTCATGTTTAATTCAATGGACATCATCCTCTTTTTTGCAGCACTGTCCTTTGCACTTACTTTCTTAAGACTCATGGTTAGAAAGAAATTTGGCAAAATAGCTGCACAAAACACAAGAGAGATGCTTCCATGGTGAGGTAACCATGTGCACTGTTGTGGCGTTAGCTGCTCCAGCTAATGGCTGTGTATCTGAAGCTCGCTCGTAACTTGGATTTTGGCCCACAATTTAAAGCAAAAAATCGACTGAGTGATGGCTCATAACTTGGAAAACTCGTAAGTTGGGCACTCATAAGTCAAAGTATCACTGTGCTAGTAATTGTTTATATAAAGTTCTTTTTTTTTATTTAAAGCTATTATTGTCATTAGTTTCATGCTTCATTGATCTTGGTTAGTGAGGTGCATAAGTTAGCCACTAAAATCAACTGTATACACATTGTCAGAAATCACAGATTGTATGGTTTCCACCTCTACAAATTGTTATAATTGTAATTTTTTTATTTAATTTGTTACAATTACTGTTTATATTTGTTGTCTGTGTCAGTATTCTTTCTAATGCTACAATTTTAAAGAAAGACAACTTTAACAGATCAAAGAGCATCACTACAGGGCCCACCCAGACTGGAAGTGGTGTAGTAAAGATCGTCGCAAGTCATCTACGAGCTCTAACAAAGGTGATGGACCACCATACACCCCTGGAGGACAGAGTGTGGATGGTCTTCCTTTGACACCTGGTGGACCTAACAGTGGACCATTATTGACTCCTGGTGGACCGAGTAGTTCTGGACCGCCATTAACGCCAGGCGCTGTCAGTAACACAGTTGACGCTCCTGGCACACCAGTTTCTGTTAGTGCAAATACCAGAATGATACAAGTGTCAGCATCTGGAACTCATGTGACTATATCACATCCTAGTATTACAACTAATAATTTGGTAAGTTCTGATTTCTGTATTTTGCACTGAGTGTATTTAGTGTACTCAGAGGGCTGAAGAGGGGTTGAGGTGGTTTGGTCATTTAAAGAGAATGGATCAAAGTAGAATGACTTGGAGAGTGTATAAATCTGTAGGGGAAGGAAGGCGGGGTAGGGGTCATCTTCGAGAAGGCTGGAGGGAGGGGGTAAAGGAGGTTTTGTGGGCGAGGAGCTTGGACTTCCAGCAAGCATGTGTGAGCATGTGAGATAGGAGTGAATGGAGACGAATGGTTTTTGGGACCTTACGAGCTGTTGGAGTGTGAACAGGGTAATATTTAGTGAAGGGATTCAGGGAAACTGGTTATTTTTATATAGGCAGACTTGCGTACTGGAAATGGGAAGTACTGTACAATGCCTGCACTTTAAAGGAGGGGTTTGGGATATTGGCAGTTTGGGGAGGTATGTTATATATGCTTCTAAACTGTTGTATCTGGGTGCCTCTGCAAAGACAGTGATTATGTGTGAGTGAGGTGAAAGTGTTGAATGATGATGAAAGTATTTTCTTTTTGGGTCACCCTGCCTTGGTGGGAGACGGCTAACTTGTTGACAAAAAAAAAGAAATGTAAGCATGAAAGGATGACACTTTTACATGACTTCTTTCCTTGTCAGGTTTGTTCTTGGTATGCACTAGTGGGAGAGTGTATTGAGGTACATGTATTGAGATATTTGAAGTGGACTTGCTGGGAGAATCTTTGAAAAATAAGGTGAACCATAGAATAGAGGGGAAAAAGAAAAAGGGTGGATGGTCCATTGAGGCATCCTTGGAGACAAAGAACTTTATTTCTGGAGGCAAAAGAGTAGGAATGCACCTTAATATAGTGGTACCAACATTTATATGGGTGTGAAGCTTGGGTTTTAAACATTACAGCAAGGAGGAGGAGGCTGGACATAGCAGAGATATGTTTGAGGACACTGTATGGTGGTAACACTAGGCAGAGACTTTGGAGCTTGGAGACTAGGTGATGTGGGGGTTGTTGAGAGCATAACTTAGAGGGCTGAGGAAAAGTTTAGAGAGGATGGAGCAAAATAGAATAACTAAGAGGGTAGACATAATGGGAGTGGAGGGAAGGAGGGGTGGGTGTTTTATCAGGAAAGGTTGGAGAGAGGTCTAAGGGCTTGAGAACCCCAGCAGACTTGTGTGAGCATGTTAGATCAGAGTGAGTGAAAGCAAGAGGCTTTTAGGACTCACTATGCTGTTGGAGTGTGAACACAGTAATATTTATGAAGGGATTTAGAGAAGCTGATTAGCTGGACTTGAGTCCTGGAGGTGGGAAGGACGTTCCTTTATTGAAGGAGGGATGGGGATGTTGGAATTCGGAGGTCCATCTGAACTGTGATATCATCATGCTTCTGTCAAGATAGCAGTTGAATGATTTAGTGAATGTGTTTCCTTTTGGGAGAGGGGGGGTGGATTACACTACTTTGGTAGGAAACGGCTGGTATTGAAAAAATTCATTACTGTTAATTAAGTTCACCGAGAACTATTAAATTTAGCTAACATTTATCTTACAAGTTACATTATTGTATGAGGCATTCTGCAATAGCATTAAGTAAGTGTTACCATGATCAAAATCCAGGCTAGTGAAGGAATCAATTTCTTAATGTGTCATTTATTCAGAGCCCCACAACAAGTTATGATAACTTGAGCTTATGGAAATACACAAACACAAAGATGGCAGTCTGGATGCAATTTACGTATCAGCGATTTTGCCCACGTGAGTCCTATTTTAAGCCTATTCCACTGCGCATTTGAAACAAATTCTTAGCTATTGCAGTATATTTCTTCTTTTCTATTGATTGAGCATAAGAAACTGCTCATTCAACTATCAGAACTGCTCTATAAAGTGCACAGAAGTTGGTAATTTAGCCAATTTTAAGGAAAATTCATATTATATTTTAAAACAGAATCTAAAATGGTGTGCATTCCAACAACTAAAGCAGCCTATCCTCTGTTCATTAATCACATCCTCAGGTCTCTCCTATATTGCATCTGCCCTCTGTTATGAATAAATTGTCACACATAAAAAAAAGGTTTTTACCCTATTTCTTGGATAATAAAAGATAAGAAATGATTGGTCATGGCTCAGGGTATCTCAATAATTGAAGCAGATTTAGTAAAAACCCATAAAATAGACAGGGCAGGGGCCTTATCCTTCTTCAGGAAAATCATCGAAAATCAAATAATTTTGCTACCTGGAGCCATATTTCAAGCTGCTTCCAGTCCTGAAGCCAACCACAATCATCTGCTTCAGTATATATCTTCTATTTTATCAATTGATACCAAGAAACAGCCAGTAAAACCACAAAAACTATCCTAGAAAATACCTCTTAGGTTACTGTTTTAAACTAAACAAATTCAGAGGTTTATTTTTCCCATCATGCACTGCATAAGGCAGGATTTTTTTGTACTATGCACACTCACCACACAGGCCCAGTCTCTTGTATCTAGGCTAAAATTTACCACTCAAGTATATTTAAGGGCGCTATGCTGGAACTGTGGATTTATGTGAGTGACACTAGCATCAGTAATGTAGATCTGTGTAAACAGTGATAGGGTTAACAGAGGTCTACACAATTGGGAAGCTATTGTCTCTTCCTCTTGGGATGATAGGTGGCTCATGTCCCTCTTGCCATCTGCCTTTAATGAATTTCTCCTATATGAATTCCTACATGAATTCTTTCTAGGATTAATTGACATACCAGTGCAAGAAACATCTTTTGCTAAACTTCTGAGGATGATATAAATTCATTGTCTAAGTGTTATGCAGGTGCAGATCATTATATTTGCATGCATAAACACTTCCTACTAGGATCTCTGCTATTCATACCATGCTCAAGCTTTCCTCACATTCATAAGGATTCAAACAGGCAGCTGTTTCTTTGATCTGTTTAACCCTTTGAGTGTTGAGACCCCTGCTCACAAACTTACTCATAATGTTTAAGAATTTAAAAAGAAACCACTTTTTCTTATGAAATGATAGATACTCTTTTACCAAAGGTAATGAAACCAAAAGTACAAAATTTGATGGAAAACTTACAGAATTACGCTCTTGCGAAGTTAGCGGTCTCGGCAATATTTACGCATCTGCAATTTTGCCCACTTTGAGCCCTGTTTTGGACTAATTCCTTTGCTCCAATTGACCAGACTCATGGCTATTTTGCTAGAACTCCTTTTATTCTGTCAATTGAATACAAGAAACCTCCCATTTACCTATTTCAACTATCCAAAAAAGTGATCAGAAATTACTAATTTGCCCAATTTCACACAAAATTTAAGAAAGGTCAATTTCAAAATAGGCCCAGAATAAACAGTGCAGACATTCCTGGCACTAAAATAACATTTTTGTTCATTAGTCACGTCTCCGCTTACTTATCATTTTAGGTTTTTATTCACACAAAAAAAGATTTACTGTTATTCAGATTACTTCACAATTTTAATAATTGTATAAATAATATCAGCACATTTGTGAATACACATTAGACCACCAGTTGACATGTATTGAACTTTGACACGATTTGTTTACTCTTGAACATTGTCAAAAATCGAATATTTCTGCTACTTTGAGCTCACTTTCAAGCTACTTTTCATCTGTAAACCATTTAAAATCATCTCTATTTCTGTAATAAATCCCATTCTGTCAGATGAGACCAAGAAGATGAGAATACAACCATAAATACAAACTTGCACTGCAAAGTCATTGTTTTAAACCAAAAACATAGTTGCAGTTTTTCTTGTGCACTGCATACTGCAGGATTTTTTTTTATATTGCACACACTGACCATTCAGACCCATTCTCTCATATGTAGGCCTACCAGCTTTCTCCCGCAAGATTGGAAGCTGCTAGTATTTTGGCATAGTATTACAAGACCGACACTGGCTTCAAAGCCGTAATATTACGAGACCAACAATGAAAAGGTTAAAACAAGGTTGTCTTCAGACTCGAATAGTCCTCAACCCTGCCATTATGGGCAAAGACCAGGTCTCATTCTCTTCTTTGGCCAATGTGTGAAATGGTATTTTTGAGAGAGCATACACTGATGATGTAGTATGCCCCAGTAATTGAATACAATTCTGTAATTGTGCTTGACAAAAAGGAGCTCTTTCTTATTCCTGTGATTTGAAATATGTAACCAGGACATAGTTTTAAACCACATTGCTCTGCATCTGGGCTCAGTTACAACCAGTCACCAGGTTGATGCTCAAATGAATATACTGCAGGCATCCCCAGTCAAGGAACTCTTATTTGTAGTTCTTCAGTTCTGTTTGCTGATTTGTTGGTGTTTTACTGTGCATTGCCCATAGGCTCTCCTGGTTGGTTAGACAGAGAATGTGCTGTCTTTTTCTTAATTTATTTTCATCTTCATGCTTATACTAATTTACAAAAACTCTTATGTTCATTGGTGTGAAGAATTGAGCTGTGAGAATGCAGGGGAAAGGATATTACATGTGCTGTGATTTCTTTTAATAGAAGACTTTGTGTTAAGTAGCCTATCCATGGCACAATTTTGGAAATGCCGTTATCTCTGCTGTACAGTAATTTACTCTCTTTTTTTGTAGAAACTCTTATTGTTACTCTTCGTTATCATCTGAGTTATTGTATGAGCCTTTCATCTATTAATTTTCATTCTGGCATGCACATTATTTGCTCTGCATAGTTTCAGTGGCAGGGCAGTGAACTTTAACTAGTGTGCTTGTTGGTGACTATCTCTGTAATAGAATTAATAGGTGTGGTACAGAGCTATATTACTGCATTACTAGCTATAACAAGTATAGCTTGTTAATTACACTTAGGTCACACTACACATGTATGTTGTACACACACACATTTACACTTCTATCTGGGCTTTCTTCTATTTTTCTTATTAGTTCTTGTTCTTTATTTCCTCTTATCTCCATGGGGAATTGGAAAAGAATTCTTCCTCCGTAAGCCATGCGTGTTGTGAGAGGCGACTAAAATGCCTAGAGCAAGGAGCTAGTAATCCCCTTCTCCTGTATAAATTGCTAAATTTAAAAAAGAAAAACTTTTTTTTTCTTTTTAGGTCACTCTGCCTCAATAGGATATGGCTGTTTCATTAAAAGAAGAAATAGTAATTCAGTATTATATTTGCAGGTAAACAAACAGTTCCTGGTTCCCAGTAATGGGACACAAACTGGACCAAGAAGAGATACAGTAGGCTCAGAGGTGTCAGATGATGACTCTAAAATGGTAATTTGTGAAGAGGGAACATCAGAAGGAGACAGAGATATAACTCAAATTAAGACAGGCAAGTATTTGCATGATGTACTGATTGAAATTCAGTGCAATAGTATGTTACTAATAATTAAACTACGTAAAAATATTTATTATAAGAGTGAGGCTCAATTTAGGATATGAAAGCAAGAAGGGGATTGTTTGTTTTCAGTAAAAGTAGGTCTTAGAAGGTTGTGTGATGTCACAAAGGTTTAATGTATTACAGATAAGGTTGTAAAAGAAGTGAGTGCTAGAGTGCTGGGAAGAGGTGTAGCCTAAAAGATGTAGAATCTGGCATGAAGTGGGAGTTGTCACAGTTACTCTGCTGATGACATTGCTTATCGAAGATTCAGGAGAGAAGTTGCAAAGGTTGGTGTTTGGAGGCTGCATAAAATGATGAAGTTGAAAGTAAACATAAAAAGCAAAGTGACGAAAATAAGGAAAAAGTCTAGGCAGTGATAGAGTGAATGTCAAATTGTAGGAAGGTAATATAGAGGGAGTGAATGTTTTTGATATTTGGGAGTGGATGTGTTGGCACCTAAGTGTGTAAAAGATGAGGTGAATCATAGAAAAAATGGTAGGCGATAGTAAAGATCTCTGTGGAAATAGAAAAGTTTTCACTGGAAGCAGAAATGTGACTGTATCAGAATATAGCAGTGCCAGTATTTTTGTACAAATGTGTGACTTCTGGTCATTGATCTATCTATGGTTTATGCATTTCACCACCACCATTTTCTTATTATTTCCATAGACACGAGCAATGAAATAGACTTAGCATGCAAAGAGCATGTTGGAGACTCCGATTCTGAAACTCAGAGTGACACTGAAGTCAACGAACGCCAACGAAGACCTTATTCCCCCACAAGTAGCGGAGATATAAAGTACAAGCCCAAACCCATCAAGGGAAGGTGTGTTTATTATTTGCACATGAAATGTAGTAGTATTTTGCTGAGGAAGCTAGTTCACAGTTTTTAAAATCTTAATTCCAAAAATCTATATCCTCAAGCAGATTTTAGAAAAAATATACAGTAGACCCTCGTGTTACATGGTAGTTATGTTCCTGAAAGTGCCGTGTTAGATAAAATCCGTGTTATATAAACTGAAGAACTTGTGGGAAAAATAGGGTTATGTTCCTGGGACCCCTCCCCGAAACCCAAACAACTTTTTTTAGATCTCCAGATCTTACAAAAATAAAAATGATAATGTTGTTTCTGTTGCTTAAGACTACAAATGCAACAGAAAGGTTATTTACCCTAAACTGTGGTTGCTGGTGTATATCAGTGATTGTAAAGAGATTGGAGATGCATGGTGTGGCCCTACTAAAGTCGATGGTTGTATTGGAGCGTGCATAAATTCTGTAATGGGACTCTGGCTTCTTTTGCCCTGTAGTACATTATACATTATTCCAGAAGCTTGGTATTGCCAGGTTGGGGTCAGAGTCCATTGATGCAACTAGTTTTTTCATCACTTTTCTTGTGTAGTTACACTTGAATGACTTAATAACTCCCCAATCCAGGGGTTGTATTAAAGATGTTGTATTTGGAGGTAAAAATTCAACTTTTACATGTGGGGTCATATCCAGCAAAGCTTCTGGATGAGCATGGAAATTATCAAGAATGAAGAGAGCCTTGAATGCAAGGTTCTTGCTGTGCAGGTAAAACTTGACTTAAGGAATAAAGTGATGCCTAAACCAGTCTATAATATTTCTTTTGTCATCCATACTGACTGGTTTGACCTCCAAATTACTGGTAAGGTGTTTTTATCTACACCTTTCAAAACACGAGGATTCTTAGAGCGGTGAATAACCATGGGCTTACACTTGAAATCACCTGACGCATTACCGTAAAGGAGCAAAGTGAAGCGATCCTTTGCTGCCTCAAAGCCCGGTGCAGCCCCGCGGAGACAGTGGTCTCACCCGCAGCCAGGCGGCGGCCTGTGCTAGGGAAATGTCCCGCAACGCTCCAATTTTTGCCCCCTCTCGCAAACCGAACCATGTTAAGTTAATTTTATGAAGTGTTGTATAAAATTATGCCATAATTTTCAATAGTGTAATAACCAAAACATGCCAAGTAGATCTGTGTAATATGAGGGTCTACTGTATTTTATATCTTTTTTAATATGTACTATAACATCAGAAAATTTGATATTTTTGGAAACTTTTTATTATTATTATTATTATTATTATTATTATTATTATTATTATTATTATTATTATTATTATTATTATTATTATTATTATTATAATATTGAGTGGTGCAAGCTGTGTTTGTGTGTTGGTTGTGTTTGTGTTGGCTATGTGTGCTGCAGGCTGCATAGGCCAAAGAACACACTGAGGTACTGTGACAATACAGATTGATTACTGATGTTCCAGAAACTGAAAAAAAATAAATGCTGTGGTGGAAGTCATATTGTGTTAGATTGCAGATGTACATAAGGCGTGAATAGGTTTCAAACTGCTAGTATACCACTAAGTGTCATGTGCCAAATGAGAAATAAATTTCCCTTTAGCATTCCATGACCCTTTTAGGGGCCCATGTCTGGAAACGTTCCAGAGCTCAGTCTGGATACACAAAATTTTCAGATTGCCTCTAACCCATAGGGAAACTCATCATCATCCTCGGGTAACAAATCAGATAATTCTAATAACTCCTCCAGAGAAGTGAGCAGATGAGATGTGAAGCTGTGTAATTCTAGACTTGAGAATGAACTGTTCCTGTTTGCTCGTAAGTTGGAATAGTTACTCTTTAGGCTCCCTCCCAAAAATTCATAAAAAAACTATGAGAGATTCTGCTAAAATAACAACAGTAAAAGAGGTCTTAAAATGGACCATTCTGCAATATACTTGAAGCATATCCAAACCCCTCCAGTATTTCTATGTTAAAACATTAAAAGATTAAACAAAACAGAAAATAAAACATCAGTACATATGGACAGTTTCTATGCAGCAAGTCAATTACTTGGTATTGTATTGTATACAATACTGACAAGTTGATGAATAAGAAATATGCAACATTGTAATGGCTAGTTTATTGTGCACCTTATATCCATCCTGTGGATGGTAGTGGGCAATTTATTGTGGCTAGTTTATTGTGCACCCTGTATCCATCGTGTGGATGGTAGTGGGCAGTTTATTGTGCACTCCAAATCCATCCTGTGGGTGGTAGTGGTTTGTCTTTTGTAAGTCCCCTATATCCATTCAATTGGTGGTAGTGGTTAGATATTTTTATTATGTAAAGTAAAAGGACACAAGTGCAACTAATGTGACATTTTATTGTGGCAAGGTTTCGCTCTCCAGGAGCTTTGTCAAGCCGTTACAAACAGTACATGGACACAGAGGGTATATATAGGCTCAGAGTGAGGTGCAATACTAATGGTAGTAGTAGTAGTAGTGACATAAGTTGTAGTAGTAGTTTTTTTTTTTTTTATTTATTATCACACTGGCCGATTCCCACCAAGGCAGGGTGGCCCGAAAAAGAAAAACTTTCACCATCATTCACTCCATCACTGTCTTGCCAGAAGGGTGCTTTACACTACAGTTTTTAAACTGCAACATTAACACCCCTCCTTCAGGGTGCAGGCACTGTACTTCCCATCTCCAGGACTCAAGTCCGGCCTGCCGGTTTCCCTGAACCCCTTCATAAATGTTACTTTGCTCACACTCCAACAGCACGTCAAGTATTAAAAACCATTTGTCTCCATTCACTCCTATCAAACACGCTCACGCATGCCAGCTGGAAGTCCAAGCCCCTCGCACACAAAACCTCCTTTACCCCCTCCCTCCAACCTTTCCTAGGCCGACCCCTACCCCGCCTTCCTTCCACTACAGACTGATACACTCTTGAAGTTATTCTGTTTCGCTCCATTCTCTCCACATGTCCGAACCACCTCAACAACCCTTCCTCAGCCCTCTGGACAACAGTTTTGGTAATCCCGCACCTCCTCCTAACTTCCAAACTACAAATTCTCTGCATTATATTCACACCACACATTGCTCTCAGACATGACATCTCCACTGCCTCCAGCCTTCTCCTCGCTGCAACATTCATCACCCATGCTTCACACCCATATAAGAGCGTTGGTAAAACTATTCTCTCATACATTCCCCTCTTTGCCTCCAAGGACAAAGTTCTTTGTCTCCACAGACTCCTAAGTGCACCACTCACCCTTTTCCCCTCATCAATTCTATGATTCACCTCATCTTTCATAGACCCATCCGCTGACATGTCCACTCCCAAATATCTGAATACATTCACCTCCTCCATACTCTCTCCCTCCAATCTGATATCCAATCTTTCATCACCTAATCTTTTTGTTATCCTCATAACCTTATTCTTTCCTGTATTGACTTTCAATTTTCTTCTTTTGCACACCCTACCAAATTCATCCACCAATCTCTGCAACTTCTCTTCAGAATCTACCAAGAGCACAGTGTCATCAGCAAAGAGCAACTGTGACAACTCCCACTTTATGTGTGATTCTTTATCTTTTAACTCCACGCTTCTTGCCAAGACCCTCGCATTTACTTCTCTTACAACCCCATCTATAAATATATTAAACAACCACTGTGACATCACACATCCTTGTCTAAGGCCTACTTTTACTGGGAAATAATTTCCCTCTTTCATACATACTCTAACTTGAGCCTCACTATCCTCGTAAAAACTCTTCACTGCTTTCAGTAACCTACCTCCTACACCATACACCTGCAACATCTGCCACATTGCCCCCCTATCCACCCTGTCATATGCCTTTTCCAAATCCATAAATGCCACAAAGACCTCTTTATCCTTATCTAAATACTGTTCACTTATATGTTTCACTGTAAACACCTAGTTCACACACACCCCCTACCTTTCCTAAAGCCTCCTTGTTCATCTGCTATCCTATTCTCCATCTTACTCTTAATTCTTTCAATAATAACTCTACCTTACACTTTGCCAGTATACTCAACAGATTATCCCCCTATAATTTTTGCACTCTCTTTTATCCCCTTTGCCTTTATACAAAGGAACTATGCATGCTCTCTGCCAATCCCTAGGTACCTTACCCTCTTCCATACATTTATTAAATAATTGCACCAACCACTCCAAAACTATATCCCCACCTGCTTTTAACATTTCTTTCTTTATCCCATCAATCCCGGCTGCCTTACCCCCTTTCATTTTACCTACTGCCTCACGAACTTCCCCCACACTCACAACTGGCTCTTCCTCACTCCTACAAGATGTTGTTCCTCCTTGCCCTATACACGAAATCACAGCTTCCCTATCGTCATCAACATTTAATAATTCCTCAAAATATTCCCTCTTCCCTATCTTCATCAACATTTAATAATTCCTCAAAATATTCCCTCCATCTTCCCAATACCTATAACTCTCCATTTAATAACTCTCCTCTCCTATTTTTAATTGACAAATCCATTTGTTCTCTAGGCTTTCTTAACTTGTTAATCTCACTCCAAAACTTTTTCTTATTTTCAACAAAATTTGTTGATAACATCTCACCCACTCTCTCATTTGCTCTCTTTTTACATTGCTTCACCACTCTCTTAACCTCTCTCTTTTTCTCCATATACTCTTCCCTCCTAGCATCACTTCTACTTTGTAAAAACTTCTCATATGCTAACTTTTTCTCACTTACTACTCTCTTCACATCATCATTCCACCAATCGCTCCTCTTCCCTCCCTCACCCACTTTCCTGTAACCACAAACTTCTGCTGAACACTCTAACACTACATTTTTAAACCTACCCCATACCTCTTCGACCCATTGCCTATGCTCTCATTAGCCCATCTATCCTCCAATAGCTGTTTATATCTTACCCTAACTGCCTCCTCTTTTAGTTTATAAACCTTCACCTCTCTCTTCCCTGATGTTTCTATTCTCCTTGTATCCCATCTACCTTTTACTCTCAGTGTAGCTACAACTAGAAAGTGATCTGATATATCTGTGGCCCCCTATAAACATGTACATCCTGAAGTCTACTCAACAGTGTTTTACTACCAATACATAATCCAACAAAACTACTGTCATTTTGGCCCTACATCATATCTTGTATACTTATTTATCCTCTTTTTCTTAAAATATGTATTACCTATAACTAAACCCCTTTCTATACAAAGTTCAATCAAAGGGCTCCCATTATCATTTACACCTGGCACCCCAAACTTACCTACCACACCCTCTCTAAAAGTTTCTCCTACTTTAGCATTCAGGTCCCCTACCACAATTACTCTCTCACTTGGTTCAAAGGCTCCTATACATTCACTTAACATCTCCCAAAATCTCTCTCTCTCCTCTGCATTCCTCTCTTCTCCAGGTACATACACGCTTATTATGACCCACTTCTCGCATCCAACCTTTACTTTAATCCACATAATTCTTGCATTTAGTAGTAGTAGTAATACAATATGGTACATGAGTAAAAGGATATCAAAGCTATTACTTGGGTAACATGAAAATAAGTTAGACAAATATAGACTGGATAGAGAAGGCCTGTTTCAGTTTTCATTCTCTGTAATGTGCTTTGTAATGTATTTGTAACGGCTTGACAAAGCTCCTGGAGAGCGAAACATTGCAAAATGTCACATTAGTTGCACTTGTGTCCTTTTACTTTACATATTGTCGGTAATTCTAATTACACTATTTTTATTATGCAGATGTTTTTTCAGTCATTGGCTTTTTCACTTCAGTATAGAGATTACATGCTGCAGAGAGTGGAAATTTAGGTAATCAGTCCTTCAGCTTTGACAGAAGATGTTCAGAAGTCCTTAATTATTGGAGAGAAGAACCAGGGAAAGACATAATAACATCAAAATTACTCAGAAGAATTGATAAGGTAGACAGTAACAAGCTGTTTGAGAGACAGCAAGCAGGTACTTATGGGACAGCTTGAAGTTAAAGAAAGAGTTCCATGTCATAGGGATGTCAGGAATTATTTCTCCAGTCTCAGAGTGGTTGGGAGGGTGAATGACCTTGACACAGAAGTAGCTAGATGTCCATGAGGCTAGGAGGGCTAAGCTGACCCTGTGCTTGGTTTTTCATGATTAGTTTAGGTCATTTTCTAAGGTGGTTTTTTCATGGTTTTATTGTGTTTCTTGGTGCCAATTGATAAACCAGGAATAAGCCTCAAAGTCGCAGAAATAGTCGATTTTCAGCAACTTGACTGAGGAAAGGTAAGGCTCTCTTATCCCCTTCAGGTCTGATTTCTAAGTTTTTTTTGCTAGGTCTGCTGCTTCAATTGTTGGTATGTCTTAATCCATGACCAAACATTCTTAATTATGGTTTATTTTCTAAGAAATGAAAATGTAAATTTTTGTGTGTGGAGTCAAAATGGAGGTCAAGGGTTATATAGAAGAGGTCCAGGCACATGATTAATGAACAATGGGAATGTTGCTTTAGTGACTGAAATGTCTACAGTGTTTGTTTTGGACTGCTTTAAATTGGGATTTGTTAAAGTAGGATAAAATTGGCCAAATGACTGAATTCTAGGGTTGCTATGATAGTTAAATGGGCATTTTCCTGTGATCAGTGGATAGTATGAAAGGCAAACTGGCAAAATAGCCAAGAATTATTAGTTTGAGGCCTATATGGGCAAAATTTTTGATGCTTAAATTGCCTGCATACTTCTGTTTGCATGGCCTACATACTTATGTAAGTATATATCAATTCTTTTGTGCCATTACCTTTAGATAACAGATTCTGTACCATTTTGGAAGATGAAATAATTTTTTTAATTTTTAAAAAAATGCTGACACAAGTGGGTTGGAGGCAGTGGAGAGGTCGTGTCTGAGGATAATGCAGAGAATTCGTAGTTTGGAAATTAGAAGGTGCAGGATTACCAAAACTGTTATCCAGAGGGCTGAGGAGGGGCTGTTGAGGTGGTTCGGACATGTAGAGAGGAATGACCTCAAGAGTGTATAAATCTGTAGTGGAGGGAAGGCGGGTAGAGGTTGGCCTAGGAAAGGGTGGAGGGAGGGGGTAAAGGAGGTTTTGTGTGTGAGTGGCTTGGACTTCCAGCAAGCATGTGTGAGCATGTTAGATAGGAACGAATGGAGACAAATGGTTTTTAGGACTTGATGTGCTGCTGGAGTGTGAGCAGGGTAATGTTTATGAAGGGATTCAGGGAAACCGGCAGACTGGACTTGAGTCCTAGAGATGGGAATTACAGTGCCTGCACTCTGAAGGAGGGTGTTTAAATGTTTCAGTTTTATAACTGTAGTGTAAGTGCTTCTCTGGCAAGACAGTGATGAAGTGAATGATGGTGAAAGTTTTTCCTGGTGGGAAATGGCTGATGTGTTAATAAAATAAATAAAATAACAAGTGGCTTTCAGTTTATGGGGTGTCGACTGTGAAAGGGTCAGTGGTGGTAATACTTATAATTAATTATATGTAATTGTATTAAATAAAAATTATTATAATTGATATGAACAGCTGAGTGGAAGGCTAGTGAGCCTTATGTTGTTTATAACATGACTGGACTAACTACTTGAGAAAAAATATTTCATGCCTTTTGATTTTGAATTTGCAGACCATCATTGTCAACAGAGGAGGTGGTAACACTATATGGTCCAACAGGATCAGCCCAACTTGGAGCTGATCAGTTACAAGTAGCTGGAAAACCTTCTCCTATCCATCTAAAACCTTCTTCTCTGCACCTACCTTCCACACCAACACTCCAGATGCCCACCACATCCACATTACAGTCCACAGGCAGTGCCTTCAGGTAAGTCAAACATTTATTGAGGATTTGTTTATGAAATACTGTAGTCACATGAAAGGAATGAATATATAACTTTACTTTTTTATTTGGCAAAATGTGCAGTGCCATGTAAAAACCGTAAATAATTAGGAAAAAATGAAGTAGTTTGGATTTCTAATAGTAAATGTATGTATTTATAAATTATAAAATAGTTTGGGATTTTATGGCAAAAATCATTGTATACTTCCTCTCAATCTATGAGGATTTTATTCTTTCAAAAGGCTGTGAAATGCAAATCTGGTTGTATTTGTCCAAAAAGGTACATTCCCTTATCTGAACATTGTAGCACTGAAAGGGTATCTTTCAACAGTAACAAGAAGCTTTAACTCCATAAGGATTGCCTCTTTGTCTTCATTTTTTTTTTTTTTTCAAAAAGTTGGTTGTCTCCCACCGAGGCAGGGTGACCCAAAAAGAAAGAAAATCCCAAAATCCCCCAAAAAAGAAAATACTTTTATCACCTCACTCACACATAATCACTGTCTTTGCAGAGACACCCAGATACAACAGTTTAGAAGCATGTATAACATACCCCTCCAAACTGCCAATATCCCTTTGGGATATTGGCAGATTGGAGGGGTATGTTATAGGGCAGGCATTGTTAAAGTGCAGGGATTGTACTTTCCATTTCCAGTACTCAAGTCCTGCTTTGTAAAAATAACCGATTTCCCTGAATTCCTTCACTCTACATATGCCTTTTCTAAATCCATAAATGCAATAAAAGCTTCCCTACCTTTATCTAAATACTGTTCACATATATGCTTCAATTTAAACACTTGATCTACACATCCCCTACCCACTCTGAAGCCTCCCTGCTCATTCGCAATCTTACATTCTCTCTTACCTCTAATTCTTTCAATTATAAACCCTACCGTATACTTTTCCTGGTATACTCAGTAAACTTCTTTCTTTTTTTCAACACATCGGCCGTATCCCACCGAGGCGGAGTGGCCCAAAAGGAAAAACGAAAGTTTCTCCTTTTACATTTAGTAATATATACAGGAGAAGGGGTTACTAGCTCCTTGCTCCCGGCATTTTAGTCGCCTCTTACAACACGCATGGCTTACGGAGGAAGAATTCTGTTCCACTTCCCCATGGAGGTAAGAGGAAATAAACAAGAACAAGAACTAGAAAGAAAATAGAAGAAAACCCAAAGGGGTGTGTATATATATGCTTGTACATGTATGTGTAGTGTGACCTAAGTGTAAGCAGAAGTAGCAAGACATACGTGAAATCTTGCATGTGTATGAGACAGATAAAAAAAAGACAACAGCAATCTTACCATCATGTAAAACAATTACAGGCTTCAGTTTTACACTCACTTGGCAGGACGGTAGTACCTCCCTGGGCGGTTGCTGTCTACCAACCTACTACCTAGAACTCGGTAAACTTATTCCTCTATAATTTTTACAATCTCTTTTGTCCCTTTTCCCTTTATATAAAGGGACTATACATGCTCTCTGCCAATCCCTGGGTACCTTCCCCTCTTTCATACATTTATTAAACAAAAGTACCAATCACTCCAACACTATATCCCCCCCTGCTTTTAACATTTCTCTCATGATCCCATCAGTTCCAGCTGCTTTACCCCCTTTCATTCTACGTAATGCCTCACGTACCTCCACCACACTTACATTCTGCTCTTCTTCACTCCTAAAAGATGGTATACCTCCTTGGCCAGTGCATGAAATTACCGCCTCCCTTTCTTCCTCAACATTTAAAACTTCCTCAAAATATTCTCGCCATCTACCTAATACTGCCCTCTCCCCATCTACTAACTCCCCTACTCTGTTTTTAACTGACAAATCCAAACTTTCCCTAGGCTTTCTTAACTTGTTTAATTTGCTCCAAAATTTTTTCTTATTTTCATTAAAATTTCTTGACAGGGCCTCTCCCACTCTATCATCTGGTCTCCTTTTGCACTCTCACCACTCTCTTCACCTTTCTTTTACTCTACATATACTCTTCTCTTCTTATAACACTTCTGCTTTGTAAAAACCTCTCATAAGCTACCTTTTTCTCTTTTATCACACCCTTTACTTCATCATTCCACCAATCACTCCTCTTTCCTCCTGCCCCCACCCTCCTATATGTTACTAAATTTAAAAGGAGAAACATTCGTTTTTCCTTTTGGGCCACCCTGCTTTGGTGGGATACAGCCGGTTTGTTGGAAGAAAGAAAGAAGGTACAGTATGTGAAATAATGAGACACAGCGTACTATGTTAGGTGTAATTCTAAGTTGGGCTAGAATCCATCTCGGGCTTTAGGCTGTAGCAGTGTTAAATCAGTGATGAACAAAGTTTCATAGGGCATTTCCTTTTCAGAATCAATGATAATCATTGTGTCATAAGGTACCCAGCTGGAGTCATGGAAAGAGCTGCTGTGCTACCTTGGGTTGTGGTGGTTTAGGGCACAGGAGTTTGTAGCCTAGGGAAAAGAATTTTCATTTTTCATTGTAGAAGTACGTAAGAAATTCTTTGGAGGTACCATGATGCAAGCTGTAGTTCTGGTAGTGTTACAACACTTATGTACTGAGCAAGGATTGTGAACAATGCGTTAATATACTGTACATTTCCATTGTTTGATTGCTGTTTTTATCATTAGTGTGCTCCTTAATGCCTGGTGCTATCCATATTGCTCCACACTACCCATAATGTCTCATGGCTAACAATGTACAGTGGAAACCCGAATATCGGCTGCTGCGTTTATCACGCAAATCATATTTAGGCTGGTTTTGGGCTGAAATTTTGCTCCATATTTCGGCCAGTGCCTCGCAGATCATCTGTATTATATACGTCAGTCCACCTCCTGCTGGGACGCCGCTGCGTAGGTGAGTCAGTCTCCCTGTGTCTCTCGGTGAATGAGCATATACTCTGCTTGACTGTGAAGTATGCCACCATGGCCCCAAAGAAAGTTCCCTGTAAAGTTCCTTTGATAAAGAAGTGAGAAACACGATGGAATTTAAGAAAGAAGTTGTTGAAAAATATGAGAGTGGTGTTCGAGTGCTAGAACTTGCCAGGATGTATGGGAAGTCCAAATCAACAGTCGCTTCTAGCTTGGCAAAGAAAGAACAAATCAAGGAGGCTGATGTGGCGAAAGGGGTAAACATGTTAATGAAAAAGAGATCACAAACAATGGAAAATGTGGAGAGAGGCAGGGAATGTAAAAGGCAGGCAGGGAGTGTAGCAGGCAGGCAAGGATTGTAGCATGAAGGGATGGAGTGTAGCAGGCAGGCAGGGAGTGTAGTATGGAGGGAGGGAGTGTAACAGGGAGGCAGGGAGTGTAGCATGGAGGGAGGGAGTGTAGCAGGCATGCAGGGAGTGTAGAAGGGATGCAGGGAGTGTAGAAGGCATGCAGGGAGTGTAGTGTGGAGGGAGGGAGTGTAGCAGGGAAATAGGGAGTGTGGAAGGTAGGCAGGGAGTGTAGTAGGTATGCAGGGAGTGTAGCAGGCATGCAGGAAGTGTAACAGGGAAGCAGGGAGTGTAGTTGGGAAACGGAGTGTGGAAGGGAGGCAGGGTGTGTAGCAGGCAAGCAGGGAGTGTAGCAGGCATGCAGGGAGTATATCATGGAGGGAGAGAGTGTAGCAGGGAGGGAGGGAGTGTAGCAGGGAGGGAGGGAGTGTAGCAGGCATGCAGGGACTGTAGCATGGAGGGAGGGAGTGTAGCAGGCATGCAGGGAGTGTAGCAGGGAGGGAGGGAGTGTAGCAGGCATGCAGGGACTGTAGCATGGAGGGAGGGAGTGTAGCAGGCATGCAGGGAGTGTAGCAGGGAGGGAGGGAGTGTAGCAGGCAGGCAGGGAGTGTAGTAGGGAGGCAGGGAGTGTAGGAGAAAGGCAGGGAGTGTAGCAGGCAGGGAGGGAAGTAACCCCAGAATGGGCTTTGATACCTGAAGTCCTTATGGAGGGGGATTCCCCTTCCAAACAATAATCAGTCCTCCCTCTCTCCTACTTCCTGTCTTCCATAAGCAAACAAGAGTCTTCAATAAAGGTATGTAATAGTGATTTAAATGTTCATTTATTGATTTTATTTAGTTCTCATTGTTTTGTGTATATAAAATATAATTAATCTTTAAAAAATGCATTTTTTGTTAATATTTTTGGGTATCTGGAACATTTTTTTTTTTATTATTTAAGAAGTCGGCTGTCTCCCACTGAGGCAGGGTGACCCAAAAAGAGAGAAAATCCCCAAAAAGAAAATACTTTCATCACCATTCAACACTTTCACCACACTCACACATTATCACTGTTTTTGCAGAGGTGCTCAGAATACAACAGTTTAGAAGCATATATGTATAAAGATACATGACATATCCCTTCAAACTACCAATATCCCAAATCCCTCCTTTAAAGTGCAGGCATTGTACTTCCTATTTCCAGGACTCAAGCCCGGCTATAATAAAAATAACCGGTTTCCCTGAATTTTTTTTTTTTTCCAACAAGTCGGCCGTCTCCCACCGAGGCAGGGTGACCCAAAAAAGAAAGAAAATCCCCAAAAAGAAAATACTTTCATCATCATTCAACACTTTCACCACACTCACACATTATCACTGTTTTTGCAGAGGTGCTGAGAATACAACAGTTAAGAAGCATATACGTATAAAGATACACAGCATATCCCTCCAAACTGCCAATATCCCAAACCCCTCCTTAAAGTGCAGGCATTGTACTTCCCATTTCCGGGACTCAAGTCCGACTATATGAAAATAACCGGTTTCCCTGAATATTTTTATTTTTTTTATTATCACACTGGCCGATTCCCACCAAGGCAGGGTGGCCCGAAAAAGAAAAACTTTCACCATCATTCACTCCATCACTGTCTTGCCAGAAGGGTGCTTTACACTACAGTTTTTAAACTGCAACATTAACACCCCTCCTTCAGAGTGCAGGCACTGTACTTCACATCTCCAGGACTCAAGTCCGGCCTGCCGGTTTCCCTGAATCCCTTCATAAATGTTACTTTGCTCACACTC